TTTCTGTTTTTTGGAGCATCTTTTTTTGTCAAAAAATATTTCTAAACATATTTATTCAAATTTTCCATTTTAAGAAGGTATATACAAAACTTACCTGATGATTTATTGAGCAATAGCAATTTTTTTTAGTTGAGGGCCATTTTCTGAGTACGAGTTATAATTGTTCTGGTATGAATTAAATGAATTATTTCAATGTAGGGTAGCATATGTTCATTATAAGAAGTTTAAACAAAATCCTAAGTATTTATACTATACAAATATTTAAATGAATATCAACAGGGAGAACTTATCATGAATTTATAACTATCCAGATTCAAGTAATATTGTATAATATTATATTGGGTCTAATACTGTATACCTTTTTATATATGTAGAATGGGAATTGTGTAAAACTACCTAGGTATTGCAGTTATAGTAATAGATGCATCTCTCAAAGGTTATTTATGCTTCTATAGAAAAGGTCAGACTACACCAAATATTTTGAAAACATTTTCATTTAGATTATTACATATTAATTTTTTATATTAATATTAAAGTATGAGTATTATTTCCAATTGAGAGAAACTATACAACATAAATTATACATAGGTTGCAATGTGTTATTGGATATACTTTAGAAATGGTGCAGCAAATTTATTAATGGATGCTTATATTACCCCCATAATTAGTTGTATTAAAATATGTTCATCCTCATTGGAATTTGAAATAATTAAAATGTATATTTCATAAACTCATATAATAATACCATTTCTCAGCAGTCATATGTTTATAAAGATTTTGTATAAATTTACTGGGAGCAATAAAATAAAGATCATGGATTAAGGTTTTTCCAAAAGGACCTTTAATATATAATGAAAAATATCTTGGACTTTGATCTTGGTTTATAAGGAATATGCACATCAATCAATTTTTCTTGTTCTCCTGCTTATGTTGAATATCATTTCTTGGGTGCTTGTTTTAATAATAAGAGAACATTCCACAGAGCCAATAAAATGTTGTTATGATTAGGAATGATTTTGTAATTTCATTATATAGTTAGCAAATTCAGTCAAACCAAGCACAATAGTTTAAATTACTCAAAGTCAAAAGCATATAACACAACTAGAATTTAATCCTTTCTGTATGTAACATTTTAGCAGGCGGAGCCAATATTCATCATCATCTTGATGGTATTGGTAATATGACAATGTAAAATATCTATTGCTTGAAAGTCCTACTTCCTTTTAGCTCAGTTCTCAGCCATCTCTAAGATGTATCACTCATTCTTATGGTCCAAGATGATGGCTTATGTTTTAGCCATGACATCTGCATTTCTGGCATCAGGCTGGAAGAAATTATGAAGCAACCAGGCAAAGTCAGGCTTCCACCATGTTTGAAATCAAGTTCTGGGAAGGTGTCACGCAACATGTCAGAACTTAGTCCATTGGCCAAACTTACCTCTAAGGGAAGAAGAGAAATATAATCTTTATTTTGGGTGACCACGTGTCCAGCTAAAAATTGTGCAGTCTATTACAATGAAGGAAGAGGAAAATGGATATTAAAGATTTTAGAGGTCTTTACCATATCATCCATCCGTATCACTCTACAAAATCTGCATTATCAAAGGCAATAAATGAATTCTAGCATGGTGTATAAGGGACTTGGAGGGAGCAATGGAAGAGGAGCATGGAGGTTATAAGCTGATAGGACCCTGGAGAGAGGGGAAGTGATTTTTTAACATTTATTTAATGTGGAATTTAGAGACAAATAGTCTAAAGATTGTTTTAGTGCTACTCTAACAACATACCACAGAGTAGGGGGCTTAAAACAATAGCGATTTATTCTCTCACTGTTCCGGAGGTTAGAAATTCAAAACCAAGGTGACAGCAGGCTCATTCTCCCTCTGAAACTCCAGGTAGAATTCTTCCTTGCCACTCCCTAACTTCTGGTGGTGGCCATCAATCTTTGGCATTCCTTGGCTTATACTTATATGGCTCTACCCTTTGCCTTTCTGGTCACAGGGCTTTCTTCCCTGATTGTCTTTGTGTGCAGATGGTATTTTCCTCTTCTTATAGCAGGGCTGTCCAACCTTGAGCTTCCCTGGTCCACGTTGAAAAAAGAATTGTCTTGGGTTGCACGTAAATACGCTAACACTAACCATAGCTGATTCAAAAAAATATAATGTGGGTTTTTTAAAAATATGTATTTATTTATGAGACGGAGTCTCGCTCTGTCGCCCAGGCTGGAGCGCAGTGGCGCGATCTTAGCTCACTGCAAACTCCACCTCCCGGGTTCACGCCATTCTCCTGCCTCAGCCTCCCGAGTAGCTGGGACTACAGACGCCCGCCACCACACCCGGCTAATTTTTTGTATTTTTAGTAGAGACGGAGTGTCTCCGTGTTGGCCAGGATGGTCTCGATTTCCTGACCTCGTGATCCGCCCACCTCGGCCTCCTAAAGTACTGGGATTACAGGCATGAGCCACTTAGCCCAGCAAAAAATATAATGTTTTAAGAAAGTTTATGAATTTATGTTGGGTCGCATTCAAAGCCATCCTGGGCTGCATGTGGCCTGATAGCTTCAGGTTGAACAAGCTTTATTATCATTATGTTGAATTAGGGAACACCCAAATGACCTCATCTTAATTGATTTACATCTAGGAAGACCCTATTTCCAAATAAGGTCACATTCTAGGTAATGGGAATTAGGACTTTAACTTATCTTTTAGGGACACACAATTTAGCTGGTAACAGAGTACTTCCAGAGAATACACTGTTTGGGGAACTTTAGAAATCCAGACTTTAAAAGTTTGGGCTTTGTTTTTATAATGAATTTCCACTATGGTTACAGACATACACTATTTTTCAAGATTTTTAGATTAAGATTTTTGTTATTTTTGATGTGCTCATAGGCGAAAACAGGCTTTAAGGTGGTCTTAATTATCAGGCTATACCTATCTAGATGTTTTCCTTCCTCTACAGGAATTCATCCCTTTGAAAACAACATCAGACTTCATGACATCTTTTTTACTTCTGTGTATATAAGACATGAGTCTTATATATATATATTATATATATTATATATATATTATAAGAGGTAATATATATTATAAGAGGTAATATATTACCTTATAATATATAAGGTAATATGTTACCATATATAATACCATATATAATACTTTACTAAGCCGTGTTCGTAGTGTGTTTGCAGTCTCCACTTTGTATCTTGCCTTAAATTCAGCATATCTTATGTAACTTACCTGAAGAAGATTCATTTCCAAACCATTTTCTTTAACTTTACATACCATTATTAATAGATTTATAATATATATTTTTGGTCTACTTAAGATTAGAGTCAGTACATTGAGTGGTGAAGATAGTGCTCTGGAAGGTATATAAACCATAAGAATAGTATCTAAAAGTCTGGCCTCTGGAAGTCACACACAATTTTTTTTTTTTTTTTTTTTTTGAAACAGAGTCTCACTCTGTTGCCCAGGCTAGAGTGTAGTGGCATGATCTCGGCTCACTGCAACCTCCACCTCCCAGATTCAAGCGATTCTCCTGCCTCAGCCTCCCAAATAGCTGGGATTATAGGCATGAGCCACCATGCCCAGCTAATTTTTGTATTTTTAATAGAGACAGGGTTTCTCCACGTTGGCTAGGTTGGGAACTCCTGACCTCAGGTAATCCACCTGCCTCGGCCTCCCAAAGTGCTGGTATTACAGGTGTGAACCACCATGCCCAGCCACAAAATTAAAAAACAAACAAAAACACAACAAAAAAACTTGTGTAAACTTATGTGCTCACATAGGAACAGAACCTGGCAGACCGATTATTTGTTATCAGTCCATTATACCTCAGAAACTCATGAATATATACAGTGATATTCCAGTTGATAACAATAAAAATTGTATTTTTTACATATCTTGTAGTATATGTTTACAAATATTTCAATTTAGACCTAAAGACAGAAAGACCATTCAACCTATCAATCCCATTACTGGGTATTCTAAAGGAATACAAATCATTTTATTATAAAGACATATGCACGTGTATGCTCATTGCAGCACTATTCCCAATAGAAAAGACATGGAATCAACCTAAATGCCCATCTATAGTAGACTGGATAAAGAAAATCTGGTACGTATATACTACGGAATACTATGCAACCATGAAAAAGAATGAAATCATGTCCTTTGGAGAGACACGAATGGAGCTAGAAGCTATTATCCTTAGCAAACTAAAGCAGGAATGGAAAACCAAATACTGAAAATTCTCACTTATAAGTGGGAGCTAAATGATGAGAACACATGGACACATAGAGGAGAAAAACATACCCTGGGGCCTATTGGAGAATGGAAGATGGGAGGAAGGAGAGGATCAGGAAAAATAACGAATGAGTTCTAGGATTAATAGCTAGGTGATGAAATAATCTATATGAATAACCCCCATGCCACAGGTTTACTTATGTAAACAAGCCTGCACATGTACCCCTAAACTTAAAATAAAAGTTAAAAAAATAATAATAAAGCATGTTTGAGGTCTTGTAGGTGCAAGTTTATTTAGTAAAAAATTTACTCAGCTGGAACAGCTTATACAATAACTATGTTTTTAATATAACTGTTACTTTCACTATCTTTTGATTTTGATTTATTTACATTTGTAGAATTACTCAATTAGAAAACAAAGTAAATTGTACGTCCTAAAAGAGCAATGTTTAAATAAAAGTAAATGTATTTACTTGCTTTATATGGTCAAAACAAATGGGATTAAGTTTATCTCCTTGCTATACATTTCTGTGGAGTGTATGCCTTCCTACTCTCTGTGATTAGCACATGTAATCTGGGAATTTAAAAGTGAAAATATTTATCAGTGTGTGGGTCTATGCCTCTTAATGACAATCAAAATATTTATATTCAGAGAACTGGGATAGGCTTGTGGAATAGAGAGTTTTGAGGAAGATATTATTGTGCATATCATATAAAGGTTATTTAATTTCATGTTTATCTTCTTGTCTTTGCAGTGTGTGCAGGAACGGAGAATAAACTGAGCTCTCTCTCTGACCTGGAACAGCAGTACCGAGCCTTGCGCAAGTACTATGAAAACTGTGAGGTTGTCATGGGCAACCTGGAGATAACCAGCATTGAGCACAACCGAGACCTCTCCTTCCTGCGGGTAAAGCTCTGGCTTTTTTTCTCTTCTTTGTGAGTGGACAGTGGTGTCATGATGCATACAGGCAGACCTGCGAGCTGATACCTGGAAGATGTGCTCTTCTGCCTGGCAGGCACTGTGACTCTAGGCAAAAGATAAGAGATAGCGAAACACACCCAGGAAAAGAACAAGAGTAACAAAGCCATAATGACTGACGCTCCCGAGTTTAAAGCAGTTGCTGTTGCCCTAAGATTGATAAATGATTCTGTCACCATGTAGTACATGACATCTAGCAAATCTTTTTCTGACAAGCTGTGAACTAGGAGAGTCAGAGGACAAATCAGATAACAATTGATAATTTCAGGCAGTCATCTCCATTTCTGCCTCTTTTCTGCCACTTCGGACTTTTAGACTATTTTATATCACATAAGGAGACTAACACTGTTATTAAACAAAATAAAAAAGAAAAGAAAAGAAAAGGGAAGGGAAGAAAAGCATGTGGTTTTGAAAACCTACAAGTTACTTAAAGTAGACTGATAGGAAAGTACTTACGTAGATCAATACATGCATGAACACAAATGTGTATATGTATACTTGAAGTTGCTCAATCAGTCCTTTTGGAAATTACTATTATTATTATTATTATTATTATTATTATTATTTTGCTTTCATTCATCTATACTATGTTAAATTGGCATTAGTGCTAATGCTTCCAGTTTCTTTAATTTTGCTTTAACTGGAATATGTTTGGGAAAATCTGAACTTGAAGGGGACTTGGACAAAGTGAGATGGGGATGTGGTCTTTGCACAATTAAAAATTTATTCTTATACAAGAATTACTAATATACATTTTAAACAATAGCATCCCTAGAATATATTTGTTCTTGTTTTCAGTAACTTTTACACACTTCTTAGAAGCACTTTCATATAAATTTACGTTAAATGTTTTGAATACTGATGTAATAAACTGGTTATTGGATAGTAATTTTTTTAGAGATCTAAGATAATTTTAATAATTCTATACTTAGGTAAATAGTGAAAAGAGTGATATTTAAATATTTTGAGTGTACTAAATATGTCTAAAATTGGTAATAACCTAAGAAAATGAACCACCTCAAAACATTAATAACACATTATGGCTTACAATATCCATTTTTAAAACGACTCTCATAGTTGGACTAGTAAAGCAAATGAACCGAAGGTATTTCCTTACTCTCTACTTGACTGATAGAGCTCTGTTTCTGTAAGTTATGTGTCAAAAGTTTTTAATAATTTTGATGGTTAATTTTGAGGTCTTTGTTTATCAAAAGTAGATAGTTAAGGATATCCGAATCATAGAATTAGAGGGCCTTAAAAGACTACTTTTTTTCTCTCTCTCTTTTGTTTTTTGTCTTTTGCTTTTTGAGATGGAGTCTCACTTGGTCACCCTGGCTGGAGTGCAGTGGCACGATCTTGGCTCACTGCAACCTCCACCTCCCAGGTTCAAGCAATTTTCCTGCCTCAGCCTTCCGAGTAGTTGGGATTACAAGCGCATGCCGCCACGCCCGGCTTATTTTTTGTACTTTAGTAGAGACAGAGTTTCACCGTGTTGCCCAGGCTAGTCTCATATTCATGAGCTCAGACAATCCGGCCTCCCAAAGTGCTGATATTACAGGTGTGAGCCATCACGCCCGGCCCAAAAGAACTTACTTTTTGAGGGAGCTATTGTTTAAAGAAGGGAACACATACAAACTATCTTAGGACATATGACAAGAAACTCAATGACATTATAGAATAGACAAACTAACAAAGTAAGCTGAATTCTGAAGCAGGAAAAAGAAATAATTTAAACAGTCTATTAGATTGGAATAATAGAAAAATTTTAAAATGCAGTCTAAAGATCTGTGTTTTTCTTCTTATGTTTGCTTTACTTTTCTATACATGGAACTAAATTTCACTGATAATACAAATAGTCGTGACTATTGTAAATGACAGTCATTATATTAAATAACATGAAAATGTCTTTTTATGTATTTTATAATAATTCTTATGGTTTTGTAAGGTAAAAGCATAGAATGATAAAAAATAGACTTTAGACCATTTTTAACTTTTAGCAATATGAAAGTAGCATGTAGATATTTTTGATATATGGTCGATACTGTGTTAGAAACTATTTGAATTAAAAAATAAGATACGTTATTAGAATGAACAGATTTGCAAAAAGTAAGATAAGGAGGGCCAAGATTTCTGCCTGGATAAAAAGTAAGCTATTTCTTTCACAAAAGTAAATTTTAGTTCCTAACTACTAGGATCTCTAAAAAGTTCATCTAAACTTTGTACTAACCCACGTGCATATCTTTATTTTAATATATGTATTTAATGACAACTCTAATAGCACTTAGTTTTTGCTTCCTAACTTATTTTTTGTTTCACATATCTTTTGTTTTTTTTAAAAAAAAATCATTTCTATTATGACATATACCCATTCATGTCATATGCAGTATTATGTATTACACCTCTTTAATCCTTAGGAAAACACATCTGCAATCCCAAGTAAACAATGGCATTTATTGTCCTTGACTTCAACAATCATGTTGAGGATTATAGATATGTAATGCATAAGTACCGTATATATATATGTGTGTGTATACATAGGCATATTACAAATATTGTATTTGTATACATATATACATATATGATAAATTGTGTTTTATATGTGATATGCATGTGTTGGTGTGCGGGTGTGAGATTTTATATATATATATAAAATCATTCCTAAGACACAAATAAGAACCCAGAATCAGAAAGAAGTTGTGGTCTTATGTTAATGGTAGGGGTGGGGTGCATGCTGGGTTATCTGAAGGATTCAGGAAAACTTGGCTCATTCTGAGGGATTGGCTTATTCTGAAGGATTCAGGAAAAGTTTCATCAAAGGGGTGCTTGAATTAAATCATGAGAAAATGAACAGAAGCTCATGAGGTGAGTGCATTGTAAGAGACGGGCATTTCAATGGGAGTAGTATAAGGCTTAGAAGGAAGCCCCTGAATCAGAGTTAATAAATGTGTACTCAGTGTGCACTGTTTTAGACACTAGGCATATATGTGCAAACAAATCACATGTGACTCCTAATCCCAGGGAAGCTACAGTATAATGTTGATGAAGAAAAAGTTTCAGGTGGAGTAGAATATTCCTTTGGAGAGGTAGGAGATATCAGATTCTAGTGACAAGTTAACATTTTGTGATTGGATAAGGTAGTCAATGGAGATTAAAAAGAGTAAGATCTAAGATCAATAAGTGGTTCAAGAACAGAATACTCTTTAACCAGGTGTGGCGGTTCATGCCTGTAATCCCAGCAATTTGGGAGGCTGAGGTGGGCAAATCACTTGAGGTCAGGAGTTCGAGACCAGCCTGGCCAACATAGTGAAACCCCGTCTTGACTAAAAATACAAAAATTAGTTAGGTGTGGTTGTGGGCACCTGTACTTGGGAGGCTGAGGAAGGAGAATCACTTGAACCCAGGAGGCAGAGGTTGCAGTGAGCTGAGATCATGCCACTGCACTCCAGCCTGTGCAACAGAGTGAGACTCCAAAAAAAAAAACAAAACAACAACATCAAAAAAAACCCAGAATACTCTGGATGCCCCATTCTCTGTTTTCTTACTGGACCCTGAAAGCAGAGACTATTTACCAAAATCTTCATAATACTACCGTATTGGATGATACAGTATTTCAAATTATACTTTTGAATATGCTACAAAGCTCTCCATTTAATATAAAATTTCATTCCTTCCTAAAACCACATTATGGCTTATTTATGCTGATAGTAATTTCTCTCCACAATATATAATCTGTCCAGTAGTGGCACTTTATAGTAAGTGGAGTCCATGTAAAGAAAATATAGTGATTTTACCATTATTTCCTATAAGTTTCAAATTGTATGAGTGGATAATAAATGTGTATTTCTCCATTATATACATAGTTCTCATCTATATTTATGTAACTAGGACTCATTGACCAAATTTCTTATAAAGGTTTTACAGTTTCCCTTCCTCTAAGAGTGACCCAAATGATATATTTAGAGGGTCAATGGTGATCTTAAATTTCATTCTGGATTCATTTCTGTCTTTAGGAACTTAAGAAATTACTTTAGGCCGGGCGCGGTGGCTCAAGCCTGTAATCCCAGCACTTTGGGAGGCCGAGACGGGCGGATCACGAGGTCAGGAGATCAAGACCATCCT